CCAGTTCTGTAATACGGTGGGAGAACTGACTTGAGTGTTTTGCATTTGATCCCAATTATTGCGGATAGCAAGAGTCATCGCTGACTTTTCTTTTATCCAATAAAGAAAGGGTGAAAAGAACAGGAAATACCTTTAGAGATGTTTTCTTGAGTTCGAGGGGTAGGTTATGAAAAGGGAAGGTGTTAACACTATTTTCATCTGTAGTTATCTACAGGCTCTTAGTTGCTTGCTAGATCATTTTCTTTGTTTGAAAATGTGATTGTGGTGTGGGTTTGAAAATATTTTGAAAGCGTCTTTGTAATGATTTTCATTTCTATAAGAATGCGTACAAAGTGTTGGTTTTGAAAATAGTTCAAAGAGGTGTTTGTTATGGGAGATTTTTTTTTAAAGTGATTTTGAAAAGTGCCTTTGTAATGATTCTCTTCTCTATAAGAATCCGTGCAAAGAGCTTTGTCTTTTGAAAATGTTTCAATTGAAAGTGTTGGTGTGAAAATGTTTTTTTAGTTGTGAGCAAGCAAGCAACTACGAGCGTCCTACCTACTCGAAAGGTCTTTATTCTTTTCCTCCTCCTTTAGATGTTGCTATCTTACCATCGAGTTGGTAAGAAGCCCCGTCGTTGGATGTGAAGGGACAAGCGTGGGCCGTTTGTATAGTAGAAGGCAACCTATGAGACATTTTAGCAATTTTTGTATAGGGACTAAATCGTTTACCGAAGGCAACATCGAGGGTCATCGAGGGACTACGATCTTTTATCGAGGGTATTTGCTAAAACGCCCATATTCGAGGGACATGACTATTTTTTGAGGCAACAAGTGAGATTACCCTAGAGGTGCATGTGTGCAAAGTGTGTTTGATTACATGCCTCTTTAGTCTTTGATTAGGGTGGTCTACTTGTTAGTTTTATCTTGCCATACATCCTAATTACTAATATTTGTATAAAGCAATAAAAATGTAGAAAATAAATATCCTACATTATTAAAACCATATTGAATAGCAAGAAAATATGTAAAAACAAAATTAACATAAAAAAGAGAGAAAAAATGGGTCCTTCGATCCAGGCAGTAGGCTCCTTCGATTCACCCTTCTTTGTCTTCTTTCAATTGGGGTTGGGAATCAGTGTGAGCACCCTTCGATTACACCATTTTCCCTTCTTTCGATTGGGGCCTGGAAGTCAGTGTGAACACCCTTCATTTCTCCCTTATTGCTCCTTCGTTTGGACTGTGAAGCAATATGGGCATGCAAAACAGCATGAGTGTGCATCCTCCGTTCACGCCCTCTTTGTATTTTGTTTGGGACTGTAAAGCAGTAAGGGGCGAAGCCTAAGGCTTTGTTTCACACAAAACTTTTTCTTTTGCTTGGGGTCTGTACTGGTTAGTTTTAACGTATACTTGAACAAGAAAAGCATGCAATCGAAAGGACAAAAATCAAAAGTGAACAACTGTTATTTACATGCTTGAAACGAAAGGGTTAAGATCAGAGTGACTTACCTTACTTGACACTGGAGTGTATGTGTTGGACCTTGAGTGGCTCCCATGAGTGCTCTTGGATTCGAAGGAAAGAAACAACTGTTATTTACATGCTTGAAACGAAAGGGTTAAGATCAGAGTGACTTACCTTGCTTGACACTAGAGTGTATGTGTTGGACCTTGAGTGGCTCCCATGAGTGCTCTTGGATTCGAAGGAAAGAAAGAGGTGTGATGTTTCTTTGACTGGATTCGAAGGCCAAGAAGAGTGGAGTTGTATTTGTTGTTTCTGGATTTGAATGAAAAGAACAAGTGTAGTGTTTTTTTTGCTGGATTCGAAAGAAAGAACAAAGTGTGGGGTTGCTCCTGATTCAAAAGGGAAAAGAAACAGGTGTTGTGTTTCTAGTGTTGGATTCAAAAGGAACAAAAACAAGGGTGTGGTCTTTTGATTCTGTGTTTGAGAGTGTATTAAGTGTTTGATGATTTTCACACAATCAAAGTTTCTCCAGCTATCAAAACCCTCTGGATGTGTTGTCCAGCCCCCTTAGATGTGTTATGGAGCCTCTTATTTATAGATGAAGTTGGATGAGGTTTAGGAGGAAAAACAAAAGAAATTTGAACAAATTGGGTATACTGTTCTTATAGTCTTCGAGGTGCGGTATTTGTATGCCGATTTGGTGTAAGTATGGGAGCAGTGTAGCATGACTGCTTTGCAACTGTTTTGGAGCGTTGTGGTCAGTATAACAGGCTTGGACTTGGCAGCGCATTGAACTTTGGTCAGCAAGCCTTCGACTAGACTCATCAAGAGACCAAACATTAATTGTGTTCTTAGAATGGACCTTTTGCAAATTCCTTCTAATGCAACAAATTCATGTTCTTTGGATGGGCCACCAAACATGTCCTTTGAATGGACCACCAAATATGTCCTTCGAATGGGACATCCAGGTATGTCTTGCAGGTCCTTCGAATGGGCCATCAAATATGTCCTTCGAATGGGACATTCGGGTATTGTCTTGCAGGTCCTTCGAATGGGCCACCAAAGTATGGCTTTCGAATGGAACAACAATTGTATGTCATGGTATAGAAATTGTGTGTTGAAGATTTTCAAGGGTGGGATCGAAGCAAGCTATTTCAAAGGGAGATATTGTCCATTCGAAACAAGTATGAAAATAGCCAATGCATGAGGCAAGTTCATGCCTTGTGATTTGAAACAAGCAGGAAAGAGACTTTTGCTTCCTGAATCGAAACAAACACTGTAAGGGATCATTCCTTTGTGAATCAAAGCAAAAATGTAAGGGGTCATTGCTTCAATCGAAGCTTGCATGCAGGAGGCCACTTGCTTTGTGAGCGCTAGCATGAAGGAAAGCCATTGCCTTGTGCAGGCAGGCATGCAGGAGCCTTTGCCTTGTACTTCATGTAGGAGGCCAATGCTGGAGGTGGATTCAAAGCAGACATGAAGGTGAATTCGAAGCAAGCATGGAGGGAGTTATTTGTCCAATCGAAGTTTATCCAATCGAAACAGACATGCAGGCATCAAATGTCCAATCGAAACAGGCATGCAGGCAAACATTTTTCCAATCGAACAAACATGCAGATATCAAATATCGAATCGAAGTAGACATGCAGGCAGGCATTTGACCAATCGAAGCAAGGGAAATCAAAGCAGACTTGATGCTCCTTAAAAAAATCATTTTTATCTGTTTTTCCCTTTTTTAACAGTTTCCTCTTTAACTTGATGCTGGAAAATCCAATTGTATTTGTGCAAGCTTGAATTTTTTTGAATCCTTGTGAGAAATGTCTTGAGAAAAGAGAGGGTAAATTTTAGAGTACAACACTCAAGATCCATGCTAGTTTTTAAAGTAGAATTTCTTAAATAATTTGTTGCTAGATTTCACACACGATGAGTGTTGAACACATGAGTTGATGAAATGCACTTAAAGCTTATACCATACTTTTTGGCAATAACATTTGAATTTAACTTTGTACTTTGTCTTCATCAAAATACATTGGATGAAGAGTCTTGACTTCAGAAGTTTTTTTCAAGAATCTTGATAAAAATCATGAGTCCATTTCATCATTCATCAATCAATTATCTTCAAAATTCAACCTTGTGAGAAACCTCCTAGAATATTGAGAGTGAGAATTATACAATTGTTTTATGTGAGATTCTTTAGATATTATTTATCATCTTCAACTTCATACCAAAAAACTATCGTTATGAGTATCAACTCTAAAGATTGATGTGAGAGGTAGATTGAGAAACATTAGGAAATCTAATTTTTTTTGTGAAATTTTGTTGTTTGTATTAAGACAAATAATTGTTTCTTGTTCACTATTGATTGGTGCTTATCAAGAAAGAGAATAGGTTTCTTCATACTTTAAGAAAGACTTTATTGAATCTGAGTAAAGGTTATCGCAGAAAAAAAGTTTGGAGTTTTTCTTATTCGATGATAGAGCAATCGCTCAAACAAGTCTTTGTCAAATCCAAATAAAGGATAATACATAATTAAAACTTGATACAAGTCATTAGATGTATCAAGTATGATGGATCATGATCATTGAAGATCTTTCTTTTTTTTTACCAAATCATCATTGAAGATCTTTCTTTTTTTAATCAAATGATCATTGAAGATCTTGAATGTTTGCCGTTGAGTAATCTGCATCAACAAGAGAAATTATTGTTTTAAGTTCATGTTGGCTAAAGATTGGGATGTTAATGTTCGATTTAATAATTTGTTGTACAAAAATACGTATCTTTAAATTTTATCATAGTGATTTTCATACAACAAATTTAAAAATACATATGATATTAAAGTTACTTGTTGAAGCAACTTCAAGTTTACTTGAAGTTGATAATTTTGTTTGATCTCTTGTCTCTATGATAATAAGGAAACATATAATAATAAGGAAAGAAGAGATCATTTTGGCAATAACATTTGAAACATATGATAACAAGTTCCAAACACATTTTCAATTCACTATTTTGATATCTTATAAGAGTGTGATGAAAAATTCCCAAACACTACAATCTGGTAGAGTTATCAAAATAGTGAAGTATAGGTGAACAATATTATTATAATTTTGCCATTAAAAAAATTGAATGAACAGAAGAGTGAAAGGCAAAAGCAATGAACATCAAATACAGTCCTCATGTGTGCCTAAGCTAAAGCCCTAGGTTTAATCCCCAAATCACAAGTAATAGGAGTTATTCTAATGCAAAAAATCAATCATCTCACTTTTGAAAATTCACAATCAAATTCTAATAAATAAATTTAACATTGATTTAAATTAGAAGGCAATAATGCTACCAGCAGGTAAAAAAACAAACTATCCAGGTGCGGGTTGAACCTAAATATGGTACAAACAGAATCCTAGTTTCCAGCATCTATTGTAGAAAAAAGGTAACATCTCAAACCAAATGTACCTACCAAAGCTTAACCTGTATAAAGACCATTGGCAGGAGAATTAACATAAAATTTAACTATCGGACATCCCTTGTGCTTCTAATTTAAGTCTCCCTATTTTTCAATCTAAAGATCATTCATTATCATCTTCATCACTGGCATCACCACCCTCATCAACACCTCCATCTCCATCTTCATCATTTTCAGCTTCCTCATCATCACCTTCCTCGTCAGACATGCTATTAATTACATCAGTGATGATATTTTTCACCTCTGCTTTTCTATGCATTAAATCAAGGCCAAAATGTGTACCTGTAAAAATTTATTTCCAAAATACATCAATTCAAGAAATCATTTCTCCTAAAGGAAGAAATTGTCAAGAAAAAGATCATACCAAGTTGGCGGAGGATATCTGACAAAGTTGCCTGCAACAAGAGATATACAAAGTATAATAAATAAGTAAACTAAGAAAACTTCAAACATTCAAACTGAATATGAATTGCCACAGAAACATTGCTTACAGTGTTGAAATCTACTTCCTTCAGAATATTAGCAACAACTGAGTGCATGTCCTCCCTGCTAGGTTCTTTTACCTTGTTCTTCTTGCTACTTCTACCTTTTGCTACAATTAACAAAAAACTGTCAGCAGGATAATATTTAAAAACAAAAGCATATTTTAACAAAAAAGGAAATCCCAGAGTTGAATTTTTAAAACTTGTTCAAATTAACAAATTATTAGGGGGAATGAAACAAGGACAGTTCAGCATGACAGTTTCCAAAAAACAAGACCAACGGTTTAAAAACTGTGGACCAACCAGTAGACTGGCTAGTACCACTAGATTACACATCCAAGACTATCTAGAACTTTCTCAAATTAAAAAAAAAAAATGTAATCAATGCACCTTGTTCTTTACCCGCCTTTGAGGTTTTGATTGCATCCTTCTCCTTAGTATCCTGTTTCTCCTTTCCAGTTTTCAGTTTCTTGGTGTCAGGTTGGTTTGACTTTGGAAGAGAGGCAGAATCATGATCAGTAATGGATTTCTTAGATTTTGATTTTTTGGGGGATTTTTCACTGCTTTGGCTAGCTTTTGCAGAGGTTTTCTTAACAGATGGTATTTTAGCTTCAGCTTTAGCAACTGAACCTTCATTCTCAGACTGTTTGGACTTAGTCTTGTGAGCCTTTGATATATCTTCCTCTTCCTCTTCCTCTGATTTACCCACCTCATCCTCAGTTCCATTATTTGCCACTACAACATCTTCATCTTGTGACTCATCTTTTGCATCTGAAAGTTCAGCTTTATCATCATCTTCAACATCGGACAATGGTTTTCTTTTTTTCCCAGATTGTGGAATTTGCTTTTTCTTCTAGAGCAAAAAAAAACATTGAAGTGATTAAATATAAAATAGAAACACGTATTTTTAAGCAAATCATTTAGCACACACTCTTGGAGAATAAACAAACTCCCAACACCAAATCTCCCAGAGGAAAAATAAGCAAATTCCCAATCACAAATCCTCCAATATATATGATGTATTTGAGGCCAAATGGCATTATTTGTCATTAATTAAAAAAAGAAATTATTAACACTAACTTGACCCTCCAAACCAGGTAAGATGTTTCTGAATAGTTGCTTAGGGATGAACCCAAGAATACATATATCAAAATATTGCAACATTGTAAGTTGTCATTGTATACAGTTACCAGAGTTAAATTCCATCATTATTGCCAAAACAATGTCTAACTCTAAAATAATTGCTCAGAACTGGCAATTCCAAATATATCAAACCATTATCAAAACAAGATGACCAAATGCAGACTTTCAATGGTCTGGCGTAAAAGTCCGCAAAACACCAGAGTAGTCAATCACATATAGTGGCGCATAGCAGCCAAGCCCAAAAATGGGATAGTGGGATAGTGTATGACAAAATGGCCTCTATCTGAAATGCAGAAACATCAGCGAAGGAAGGTTAAGGTCTAAACTCAAATTTGATTGAACACTCAAAATTACCCTTAAACCATTTTAAATTTAAGGTGTAATTTCAGTTTTTATAGGGGAAAAGGATTGTGAGACAGAACCCGCTTCAGGCCAGAAACCAATCCTCATCTGCCACTCACTTTTTACCATATAGTAGCTGCTATAGTGTTATGCACCGCTATGGCTCTTTTCATAGCAGCCAGCCTCTGCTGCACTCTGCTATAGCTGGATGGCACTGCTATTGTGTACTCTCCATAACACTAATGCATAACAAATTTGCAACAAGCAAAAATGAAGTCCAAATAAAATAAAGACAATACCTTTGCTGGTGTTTCCGTGGATGCTTCCCTGGGAGATTTGCCAGTGGTTGCTTTTCTAGTTTGCTTCTTCTTACCTTTCTGTGCACATAAAAGCAAACTTTAAAAAACTAATAGCATGATAATAAATAAAAGATAACAAATAATAATAGATTTTAAACAAACAACACTGGATCAATTGTACAATTTGTTGGTATTAATTTAATTTTAAGAAAACTTGGTTGGACTAAAAATAATTTTAGAAATCAAACAAAAATGATGATTTGTCAGGGATACATTTCACCAAACTGTTCAATCAAAGAATTGATACTCAATGATGTAGAATATTTGCATTTTTTACAAATCACAAAAGTGGCAATTGATCCTAAAGTGTCAATCAATGTATAATAAAAATAAAAAACAACAAACCAGTTTTTTTTCAGCAAGCAGAACATCAGTAGTAGCATGTGGGGCCTCAAGAAATTCCAACAGCTTTACAGACAGTTCCTCCTAAAAGATATTTCATTTGAAAATTTAATTTTTATTTTTAAAAGTACTACCAGAACTATGTAGAATTGAAAAATAATATAACAAGTACCTTCCTTGAACCGGTCTTGCTAATTGGGATATTAAGCACATCACAGAAGTCTGCCAACTTTTCTTTCACAAATTTATCAATCCTATCCTTTATCTTTATCCTCTGTTTTTCCTGTAGAGAATTATGAAAGATACATTTAACTACAGGTTTATCACAGCCTTAGTGCTAACACCACAGCATTTATCAATAATATGACATATACAAAACATCTTGCAAGTCTAGTTATGAATTAGTGATTTACATTGCAGATCACATGAAATTGTACTTTGTTTTAATTGTGCTGCATGATAGAGCAATAGATGCCATTTCACAATATTTTGTATAGAAAGAGTATTGCAGAGAATAACAGTTTGTTCAAATTCCACAATGACATAGCATTATAGTGACACAAGAGACTGTAATGAAAAGGATCAAAGAACAGTACATCACCAAACAGAACAGTACCTCATTTTCAGCCCATACATAACCAGAAAACTGCCCTATATTCTTCTTCATAGTTTGTGCCTGCACACATTCAGGAAAAGAAAAGGTATTAGAGTATTCATACACCTTTAAGTAAATAAAATAAATCCATGGACAGATAATGGAAGTAAGAAAAAAGGCAATGTCAGGAACAGCACCTTTGATTTCTTCCCAAACAGTAGATTGTGAAGCATATTCAGGGTGTCATCAGGCTTTCTCTTTGACAACTTGAAAGCCACTGAAAGAGTTCAAACATAAACAACTTGATTGCCTAACACTGATGTAAGATAAATAGAAAATAATAACAAAATTATCAATTTACATATCTGCAAACATTATATTATATAGCTACCGGTATTAAACACAAGACACCCTAGAAAGATGAATAAAATATAGTCTATAGATTCAAGAACCAAACTAGTAAGACAACAAATAAAATGAATTTAACAATAACTTTATGTCACTCAAATTTACAAAATGTAATCAAATGTAGGCAATGAAATAAACAATATATTGGAAAAAGAAAAGACAAAAAAATAGCCAACTTTAAGTACTATACCACAGCACTTGCTAAAATCATAATCAATAAATTTGATCCATAAGTTATTAACAATTAACAATAGGTATTGCGATTATAACCAATCATATCGACTTTGCAGAAAAGAGATCTAGAGCAAACAGAATGCAATTCCAATTAACAAGTATTAGGCCAGACATACAATATACCAAAATTCACCAGATATGCTACAACAACATGGTGGAAATAATAGCAATTACAGGAGGCAATTAAACATACCGTTTGGAATATCCTTAAGCTGAGTACCACGTCCCTGTGGAAAAAAAAACACATCTAATCAAAACAACAAAAACCAACTCAATACCTAAAAACTCATACCAAAACAGAGAAAATATATACCTTCTCAATTACAAAAACTTTACTAGACGCAGACTTTCCCAACTTGCCTGCCGACGGTTCAGAGTATCGCTCCACCAACTTCCGTTCCCTTGTCGGTCTATCACTGGTCGGCGTAACCGGACTCTTCTTCTCAGATGTCGTCTCTTTCATCAACTGACTCCCCTTAGCCTCTTCCTCCTCGTCATCCCCATTAGTACCCTCGTCCGTTTCGTGGATCTCTTTCTTCTCTTTCGATTCGTCAACTTCAGTCAAAGCATCTTCTTCATCAGCAGATTTGTTTCGATTGGGTGGAAGTTTGTCGTGAAGAGATGGTTGGTTATCGATTAGGGTTTCGGTAGCCATGGGAGAAGAGGTGAATCGTGTGACTAGATTGAAAACCCCTAAGTGGAAGTTAAACCCTAGAATTGGAGTGAGTTATGACGAGATTTGGAATATAGAAAGAGAAATTAAAAAAGGGGGGAATCAATAGAAGCGCGCTTAAGGTTAAAATGTTTCAAAATTTTATGCCAAATTATGAGCGGGTTTCTACTCTACCCTTTCCCTCTTTCTTTCTCCCGGCAAAATAAAAAATAAAAAGTAAAATGAAAAAAAGCCTTAAGTTTCGAGAAGAGAGATGTTAGATCCTGTGCTCAGATTTGTTAGTTAATTAATGATTGAAAAGTCGGTTTGCGGTAGTTGTGCACTGTAACACTATGATCTACTGATGGGAATCTTTCTCTTTACGGGCTTATGAAATTTAAGGACTGATTGGACTTTGCATCCAACTATCGTGCGGCCTCTAACTGAATTTTCTTTGAAAAGTTCTCTTTGCACCTTCTTACTTTCTCCAGACCTCCAACAAAATATTAAAAATGGAATATTAAAAATGGTCTTATATTTTTAAAGATATATTTTCAAACGTATTATTTTTTCAGTATTACACATTATGACCAAACTTATGAGTTTAAGAGATGTTTGCAAAAATATTGGGCTAATTGCTTACAATAGCCCTCCAAATACTTCGTATTCGACCTACACCCACAACTTTTCAGGATTAACCACTAACTACTAAAGCAAGTTTTAAAATATTGTAAGGCTTGATTGAAACTTAAACTTCAAAAATCGAGACCACTGATTTCTTCGGGAAGTCGATTTCTTTTATTATAATTAAGTTTAGTATATTTTAAGATTGATGGCTTCCTATCGTTTCTAGTTTGACTGATATCTATTCCCAACAAATTCCTCAAGATCAAGCAAGTTTTCTTGTTTCTTTCTATGTGAATGACGGTAAATAGTGTTGGAGCACAATGAAGAGATAAAAGACAAACGAAATATATTTATTGAGAATTTCAAAATAAGGATTTACAATGAATTACAATAATCTATTCTACTATATTTATACACAAAATTATATCTTCTAACAAAGATACAAAAAGATATAATAATATCTTCTGAAAGATATTTCTAAATATAAATCAATATCTAAATATAAATTAAATCTAACATCTTTCCTTAATTTATATTTATCCAAAACTGACAACACCAATTTCATCCCTCAAACGAAGAAATTGATCAGTCTTGATAGCCTTTGTCAGAACATTTGCCAGCTGCTTTTGGGCACTACAGTGCATAACTTCTAATATCTCGCTCTGAACTTGATTCCTCATAATATGATATTTGGTCTCAATATGCTTGCTTCTCCCATGCAGCATTGGGTTCTTGGCAAGATTGATTGCAGACTTGTTATCAATCATTAGCTTCAGAGGTTTGGCTACTTCAATCTTCAGATCTTGCAACAAGTTCAGAATCCACACAGCTTGACATGCAGTCAGAGCGCCTGCAATATATTCAGCTTCACAGGTTGACAGTGCAACAACATGTTGCTTCTTGGAACACCAAGAAATAGGGCCTCCCGGAAATTTGAATAAATACCCAGAAATACTTCTTCTGTCCACTCTATCTCCGCACCAATCAGAGCCTGAATAACTCAGAAGTTCTGATTCAATCTTTCTTTCAGACGGAAATAACACTTCATACTTCAGAGTTCCTTTTACATACCTCAGAATCGTGACAACAGCTTGGTAATGAGATCACTTTGATTTACTCATAAATATGCTAACCATTCCAACTGCATAACAACTATCAGGTCTGGTATTACACAAATACCTCAGAGAACCAACCATCTATTTGAAGGTTGTAGCATCCACATCCTCTCCATCAGAATCAGAGTCCAACTTCTGATTCGTATCAGCAGGTGTGATAGCAACTTTGCAATTCTCTAGCTCAAATCTCTTCAGAAGCTCTAGTTCATACTTCATCTGATGCAAAATGATTTCTTTCTCAGAGTACATAAATTCCATCCCTAGAAAGAAACTCATTTTTCCAAGATTTGTCATCTCAAACGCATTCATCAAAACTTTCTTGAACTAAGTTATCTCTTGTTCAGAACTTCATGTGAGTAATATGTCATCAACATACAAACAGACAAAATCATATTACCTTCTGAAGTATGTTGAACATAAACATCATACTCCATCACACACTTCTGAAACCCTTGTTCCTTGAAAAATGAATCAATCTTCAAATTTCAAGCTTTTGGCGCTTACTTCAATCCATACTAGGCTTTGTGTAATTTGAACACCATCCCTTCCTGATTCTTTTTCTCAAATTCAGGAGGTTGTGATACGTATACCTCTTCTTGCAATGGACCATTCAGAAATGTAGATTTTACATCTAAATGCATTATAGGCCAATTCCTATTAGCAACTATTGCAATCACTAGTCTAATTATTTCATGTCTCACTACAGGTGCAAACACTTCAAAGTAATTCAGTACAGGCTTCTGTAGAAAGCCTCTTGCTACTAATATTGCTTTGTGTTTGCCAATTGATTCATCTGGCTTTAGCTTCTGCTTGAAAACCCATCTAACGATGATGGTTTTCTTGCCTTTTGGAAGTTTTGTCAGCTTCCAAGTCTTGTCTCTCTCTATAGCATCAAGTTCTTCTTTCATGGCCTGTAACCAAACTTGTTGCTTAAGAGTCTCTTTCGTACTCATAGGTTCATAGTCTACTAACATTGCACACTGAATAACTTCTCCTTCAGAGTCTACATCAGTGTCTTACAACATGTCAAACTCTGCAAATCTTCTTGGGATGCTTCTGACTCTTTGTTGCCTCTGAACTGGACCTTCAGAACTTTGGACACCAGAACTTTCCCCTTCAGAAGCACTTGCTTCAGAATTTGGACTTTCTCCAGAACCTTGACTGTCTTTAGAATCTGGATCACCATCGGAGCCAGATTCAGAATCATCTTCTCCTTATGTATCTTCTTCAGAGTCAGAGTCTTTACCAGCTTCAGAAACACATGTTTCTGACTTTTCTTTAGGAGTTCCCTCATTAGAGTCAGGACGAGACCTTTCCAAATTCCAAACTTCTGATTCCTTTACAATGACGTCTCTGCTAAACTCAACTTTGTTAGTTTCTGGATAATAGAGTTTGTACGAACTTATACTGTGGTACCCCACCAACAACATCACTTTACTTCTATCATCCAACTTATCTCTTCTGCCTTCTGGGACATGTTTGTAACATACATAACCAAACACCTTCAGATGACTAACACTTTGCTTATCTCCAGTCCACTTCTGAATAAGAACTATTTCCTTCAATTTCTTCGTTGGACATTTGTTGAGCACATAACATGAAGTGGCAACAACCTCTCCACATAGAGTATGAGGAAGCTTCTTCTCTTTCAGCATGCTTCTCACCATATCAAGCAAAGTACGGTTTCTTCTTTCAGCAAGACCATTGTGTTGAGGAGTATAGGGAGCAGTAATCTCATGTTCAATTCCATTTTCCTCACAAAAACTTCTAAATTCTGTGGAGTTATACTCACCACCACCATCAGTTCTAAGAATCTTCAGAGTCTGGCCACTCTGATTCTCAACCTTCAGTCTGAACTTCTTGAATTCAGAAAACACCTCGTGTTTGAACTTTATGAGAGATACCCATGTCATTCTGGTGAACTCGTCAACAAATGACACAAAATATTTATTCCCTTCAGTCGATGCTACTGGAAACAGACCGCACACATCAGAATGTACTACTCCAAAGACTTACTTTGCTCTTGGAGCTACTTCTGATGCAAATAGTAATCTTGGTTGCTTCCTTTCCATGCACACCTCGTATGACTTCTCAGGCTTCTTGATCGTAGGAATTCCATGTACCAGATTCTTTGATTTCAGATGCCCTAAACTTCTGAAATTCAGATGACCAAATCTTTTGTGCCACAGCTCACTCTCCTTGACAACACTTGTTGCACTAAGACATTCAGAGTCTGCAGTTCTAACATTCACCTTAAATGTTTTGTTCCTTCCCTGTTATGACTCCATAATCAGCTTCTGATTACAGTCATACAACTTCAGAAGATTGTCCTTCATGGTAACTGAAAAAACTTTCTCAATCAGTTGTCCCACACTCATCAGATTGATTTTCATGCCAGGTGCATACCATACATTCCGGATCACAACTGCTTTCTCATTGTTTAGAATGATTCTGACATTTCCCATACCTTCTGCATTGAGGTATTTATGATCAGTACATCTGATCTTTGTACTCTTCCCATAGTCAAAACCAACCAACCATTTCTTGTTTCCAGTGAGATGGTTTGAACACCCTGTGTCCATATACCACCATTCTGATGAATTCAGATCATCAGGTTCAGAATCCAACAATAGCACAGGTTCATCATCAGACTATCCTCTTGCTATATTTGCTTCTTCTGACTTCCTTTCTTTGTTGGACCAGCAATCTCTGGCATAGTGACCAAAGTTCTTGCAACGGTAACACTGAACATTCTTCTTGCCAGACTTCTCCTTTCCCTTCTGGACATTCTTCTGCCTATCGAAGTTTGAAGCTTCTGACCTTTGACCACCATTAGCTTTCTTTATGGCTTCTGACCAAGTCTACTTCTGATGCTTCTTACCAGAAGTTACTTTCAAAGCCTGCTGCTCTACTTCCCTCTCATAAGTTCTTGCAGTCATACGCAACTCATGCGCTTCTAGACTACTTTGCAGCTCTTCAACTCTCATGGTGCTCAGATATTTGGAATGCTCAATTGCTACCACTATGTAATCAAACTGAGAAGTTAAAGATCTCAAGATCTTCTCAATGATTGTTTGTTCATAAAGGGTTTCTCCATAAGCTTTCATCTCATTAGTGATTAGAATCACTCTAGAGATGTACTCAGAAACCTTCTTGTTGTCCTTCATGTTGAGATTCTCATATTGCTTTCTGAGAGGCTGAAGCTTCACCTTGTTCACTGATGCATCACCACTGTAACATCTGACCAGTATGTCCCATGCA